GTGCGACGCTTCGGCTGGCGCCTCTTCAGATTTCGCGCCATTTTGGCAGCGCGTGCCAGGTTTGGCTAATTTGGTGCTCCCTGGGTTTCCCTGGGCCTTGCAGCTCTGCCCTGGGTTCAGCTCTCCTTCGGATCAGCCTCACCCTCGCCGCAGTTGCTGCTTGCTGCATCCGGCGCCGCCGCGGCCGCCTAGTCGCGCGCGTTAGCCGTCGGTAATTGATTGCTGTCGCGGCCCGACTTATTTCGCCCGCCGCCGGCGCGTTCGCCTGCGGCCGTATTAAAAAAAATATCCCCACCAGCCGACGGCCAAAGGCACCGCCCTGCCGTCTGAGCTAGATGTTGGCTCTGGCCACAGTTTGTGCCTCCTGGGAGCAGAGGCGCCGCGCCGCCATGGTACCTGCGGCCCCCGCGGGCGCCCTCGCCTGTGGCCGGCTGAAATAACCCCACCCAGGCATTGACTGGGAGTGCGGGCCGTGAGGCAGAGGCACTGGCTGAAGGCCTTCCTCTTGCGTCATCTGCCATTTGTGAAGTGTGTTCACTGGCCCGACCCCCCTCGGCGGCTTGTGTGTGACCCGCGTGCAAGCTGGCGCTCGCGCGTTGGGTGTCAAGTGAGTGGATCCGGCACGCTTCCCCCTAGGTTGTGCTGCCCTTCTCTCCTCACGCCTCCCTGGCAGTCGGTACTCCACCTGCGGGTCCGACTTGTTTCCGCCTGCACCCGGTGGTCCCCTTTCTGCTGGCGCACGCTCAGCGGCTTTTGGGGTCCGCGTGACGGCAGCGGGGCTTCGGCCGTCCCCATCGCGGTTGCCCTCTTCTGCTGACTCACGCTCAACGGCTGGGCATGCGTTCGGTTCGCCCCCGCCCGCGGGCTGAACGGTGGCCGCCTCTTTCTAATTCTCTGCAGGTGCACTCTGCGCGGCGTCGCGCCAATTATCTGTCGCTGTGCCCCAGCCTCGGTCATGCCGCCCTCTGGACTTCTCCTTGCGGGCCGCGAATAGAAAAAAAATCCCCACCAGCGTCCGTAGCCCCTTTGGCTCAAGCCGTCTCGGCTCGAGCACGCCCCTATTCAGGTTGCGCGCTCCGCCGGCGATGGATGGGCCACCCGGGCTGACCCCGGCAGGTGCCCAGCCGCCCGAGTGCCCAGCGGCCCCGTGCGGTAGTGGCGGACGGGACGGCAGTGACGGCAACTGGGGTTGCCGCCCCGGCTCCCTCTTTTCCTTCCAGCGGACAGAATTGACAGTGCGGCAGAACCGGCGGACACCCATGCGGCCCCTCACTCCTATCGGCGTTCCTGGGGCATCGGTGCGGCGGAGGCCGGAAAGGCGCTCGACAGCGCGCCCCTTCCTGGAGACAGTACCCTGGCGACAGTTGGGAGCGCAGCAGAAGGCGCGCCCGCGCTTGGAGACATTCCTTACACAATTGAGCCTCGGGAGTGTGCATCGGAAAGTGCGGCCGTTAGCTGTAACATTCTCCAGGGAGTGCTCGAGAGTAAACAGGTGGTCGTCTGCCGCAGCTTGTCGCCCCCTCCCCCTCCTGGAGACCGAAAGGCGGGCGCCCATACTGCTCCTCACTCCTATCAGCGCCCCTGGGGCAGTAGCGGGGGGGAGGCTGGGAAGGCGCTCGACAGCGCACCCCCTCCTGGACACAGTACCTTGGCGACAGTTGGGGGCGATGCTGAGGGCGCGCCCCCCGCGCTCGGAGGCGTTCCTCATAACTCACACAATAGAGACTCAGGGATGTGCGCTGGAAAGTGCGGCCGTTAGCTGCAACAGTCTTCAGGGAGAGCTCGAGAGTGAACACGCGGTCGTCTGCCTCAGTTTGTCGCCCAGTCCCCCTCCTGGAGGCCAGCCGGCGGACACCCGTGCGTCTCCTCGCTCCTATCGGCGCCCTTGTGGCAGCAGGGCGGTGGACGCCAGAAGGGCTCTCGACAGCTCGCCCCCTCCTGGAGGCAGCACCCTTGTGACAGGTGGGCGCGCTGCAGAGGGCGCGCCCGCGCTCGGAGACGTTCCTCGCAGATTAGAGCCTCAGGAGTGTGCATCGGAAAGTGCGGCCGTTTCCTGCAACGGTCTTCAGGGACTGCTCGAGAGTGAACGCGTGGTCGTCTGCCGCAGCTCGTCGCCCCCTCCCTTTCCTGGAGACCGGCAGGCTGACGCCCGTGCGGCTGGGGCTTCGATCGATCGTCCGATGTACTCTGGAAAAGGCGACCGTTAGTCGCAACCCTGGCAACCCTCAAGTGGGGAGGGTGGAGGGGGAGATCGACGGGGCTTCGGTCAGCCACAGCGCGTCGGCCCCTCCCCCTCCTGAGCACCGGTAGGCGGAGGCCTGCGACCAGAACGCGGGGCAGCGCAGACAACCATGCCAGGGGCAAGCGCGACCGAGTAGAGAACCAGAGCAACATGCGGAGCAAGCGCCGGAAGAGTCCGATGAACAGGAGTTGCCCGCCGCTCATAGGGAGGGCGCGGAAGTGGCGCAAGCGCAGCAATTGGAGCACGGGCCTGAACAGGAACAGGCAACCGCCCACCGCTGCACCCCCTTGGCTGCCACTCCTCGCACTGGCCCCTCAGGAGAGATCCAGGTGGGTGTGATATCCCTTCTTTGGCGCCGCACTTTTCAAGCCGACGTTCCAGTAAGGGTTACCGTTAGTCATTTCAGTTCCGCTCCTGTCCCTGGCTTCACGTTTTGCTTATCCCCTTTCCTTTGTCCCCTTCTTCGCTTTTTCACAGACAGTGTGACCGTTAGTCACTTCCCTGGCAGTGCTCCCAGCGCAGACGCGCCCGCGGCTGGAGGCTTCCCTCACATGCTGGAAGGGTAAGGTTCTCATGTTGGGGTCGTGCAGCCGTTTGCCGCAGTCGCCCATGCGTGCCCCTTCCCAGCCCCTCTCGACCGGGTCCGGTCACCACGCAGCGCTCGACCAGCCCCCCGCCCTTGTGGATCAGGCCCCTGGCGCTGTCAATACTTGGCGCGATGCCCTGGCTGGGGCGAGGCGCAAAGTGCCGATGCGCGGCCTGCCCGTCTGCTGTAGCAGCGCTCACCCTGGTCTTCGCCGCACCTGGCCGCAGCGAGTTACAGCCCCCCCCGCTGCAGGTCCAGCGTCGTCCGATGACGGCCCCAGCACGGCACCTGGCTCGGCCTCCCCGCCCTTGGGGACCGGGCCCCCAGGCGCCGTCAATATATCGGGTCTGGGGCGGGGGCGACGTGCCTCACGGCCCTGGCCGTTGGCTGTAGTTGTTTTCACCCTGGCCATTGCCTGGTCCTGGCCATGTCCTGGCTCGGGTTCCCTGGCACTGGCCCCTCTGCGTGACGTCTTCGGCTCGCGCCTCTTGTCTCGAGCGCCTGGGCTCCGGTTACAACCGGCCTCAGTGCTTGCGGCCCCGCTCTGGCCCTCGCGCCTGGCCCCCACTCGGCTCCCTGGAGTCGGCTGCGGCCCCTGGCGCTTCGGGGACTTGCGTCCTGATCAGCTCCAGCGCGAGTACTTGCACTTCCTTGGCTTCTGGTCCACACTGCCACGGCTGGCCGTGTCTGTCGGTGCTGATGGCCCTTTGGGGTTTTGGACTGCCAGTTCACTCAGGAGTGGTTCAGCTTTCTTGAACGACCACGCGCGTCCCCCATCGGTCCGCTGCCACACGCTGGGCTATCACGCAGTCCTGCGCTTCGCCACGTCTGTGGCGCGCCGACCTCTGGCGCCCTGTGGCGACAAGGTCTAATTCACGTACCTTGTGATCCGGCTCCCGAGGCACCTGCACGTTTGCAGCGTCCTGACAGCCCCAGCAGCTTGCAGCCCCCAACGTCGGCGCTGTTTCTCAGCCTCGGCGGTTGCAGCACGGCCCCCGGCGCAGCTCCCCCCCCTGGCGGTAGGTCCTGCTGTTTTCTGCGCGCGCTGGCAATTAGTTCCACTCGTAGCCCGAGCCGACTGGACTCGCCGCTGGCGCCTTCGCCTGCGGCTGCGACAATCAAAGTATCCCCACCAGCCCTTCGTTTTCGGCACGCTCTTCTGCCTCTTCGCCTGGTCGGTAACGCGGCTTGCGTGCCGCTGTTTGCGCTGCTTTTCGCTTCACTACCAACGCGGCCCGCCGCAGCACGCTCGGCGTTCGAATTGTTTCGCGCGCCCGCTAACCAAGAAGTGTCCCCACCAGCCCATCCAGGAACAATGCCCAGGCGCGTTGCTTCTCACAATATCCTCGGATGTGTTTTGAACATTGTTTTGGAAGCTTTTGGAACGTCTTGGGGGCATCTTGGCGGGCCCAGGGCCGTCTTTGAGCGTCTTGGGTGCCGCCGGGGTCCTCTTGAGGCTTCTTTGTGGTTTTTGGTGGCCTCTTGGAAGCGTCTTGGGCGCCTCTTGGGGCCGTCTGGGCGTCTCTTGGGGCTAGGTTGAGGCGCTCTTGGGAGCCTTGGGGGCGCTCTTGGGTCCATCTTGGAGGAGATCGATCAAAAAAGGGGGAGTTTTGTTGCCCTCGTCGGGCCTCCTGAAGGCGCGGCGGGAAGCTCTGTCGAGGTCCCCGCCCGCCCCCCAGCGCGTCGGTTGCAGACCGCACCCTTCGCAAACCGCACCCTTCGGAGTCGCCGAGCCTCCTGTCTGCGCTGCGCCGTGGCCTGGCAGCGCCTTGGGCGGCTGGGCACGGTCAGCAGAGGCTCGTTTCCCCCTTCGGTCTGGGTCAGGGGCTGCTGCCCGCAGGTTGGAAGGAGTTTCGAAAGGACTCTTGTCGGGCCGGGCGAAAGGGGGGGATTGGGAAAGGGGGGGTTACGAAATTTGCTGCATGCAGCTGATGTCGGCCTCACCGAGGGGCCCATTCCTCGATACATAGTCGCCTCCAGCGCCGGGAGGCGCCGGGAAAATCAGCTACGTGAGCTGATTCTCACCCCCCCCTTTGCTATCCCCCCCTTTCGCCCGACCCGATCTTGGCAGTCGGGATCCCAGGGGAGAGGGACATGGGGAGGGGGGAGGGGTGACCGTCGGTCCTCCCGTACGCCTTTTCCCCCCTGGCAAGCGGGGGTCGCTGGACTCAGCCTCGGGTTGACTTGCGAGGAGTACTCCGCTTGCATTGCCAGGACGCTGCTCGTCGACCCCGTTGACGAAGCGCGACAGGCCTACGACTTGCTGAACGAAGTTCATGGCCAGGTGCTTCGCAACTTGATCCCCGGAATGCCTTTCAAGGACGTGTACTCGGCGGCAGCGAATTTCGTCGCCAGCAGAAGTACCGTTTTGAAGAGCAAGTTCTCTGATAGCGTGGGCTTCGTGACCAGCTTAGAGACAGAGGGAGATCTGGAGACGCGAGGAGAAGTGAGTTGAGATCTAGGTCACCCCTGGGGCGCGAAGATCACTGCGCTTCGTGCGGCGCGGCCTGGCCCAGGGAGCTGAAGAGCTTCTCTTCTCCAAGGCGGCCCCGCGGGGGCGCGAAGGTGACCGCGCGTGGCGGTCGCGGAGCGCGTTTGCGCCAAGTGAGGCGACTTGGGAGATGCGTTGAGCGAGAGAGGAGGTCCTCCTACAGTGGAGACCCATGCCGAGCAACACCCTGCCTGCCTCCAGGGTGCCCTTGGTTTCCTCGGTTTTGATGGTTTTGTGATGGAAAGCGCGACGCTCCCACACCAAACATCGATGGACGTCCTAGGGTCTCAGGGTTGGGTTTCTTGTAAAAGGTTTCTTGTGGATCGGCCCCCTATTATACTTCACCCTCGTTTCATCGCGGCGGCATGAGCTGCGCTAGGATGTAAGCGCGCGGGCGAAGCGCGCGCGCGCGTGGTTCTATGATTCAATGATTCCCCCCACCCCCTCGTCTTATGGGGGTCTCAGGGGTCTCAGGGTTGGCTTTCTTGTGGAACGTTTGCTGTGGATCGGCCCCCCAAATTGTAGGCCAACCGCAGAGGCGCGAAGATCACTGCGCCTCGCGCCGCGTGGGCTGGGCCGTGGGGCCGTTCCTTCTTCGGGGGCGGCGCGGTGACGAGCCCGTCCTGTCGGGAGCCTTGGGAGGGGGGTCGATGCAAACGGGGGTCAGCCAGAGCCCCCGATCTTGCAGGATCCTGCAGGGCCAAGGGTCGCATTGACCCGGGTTTGGGTGCAGGATCCTGCAGGATCTTGCAGGATTCTTCGCGTTGACCCGGGTTTGGGTGCAGGATCTTGCAGGATCTTGCAGGATTCTGCCAGGCCTGACTGACCCGGGTCTGGATTGACTTGGGTCAGAAGATCCACGATCCTGGATTTTGGCGGTCCAGTTCTCGTGGGATGTCTGCAGCGGGAGATCGCGTCAAATGTCAGATTGGGCCTCCTCATCTTCCTGACGGCCCCGTCAGGCCAACCCGAGTCCCCAGAACTCCAGTCTTACGTCTCCCTGACTGGGGCCATGTTCAGGCCGCTTCGGGCTGCCTCGGGAGAACCGCCCCCCAGGGGCGCTGACTGATGCGCCCAGGTCACCCGCGAGGGCGCGAAGATGTTCGCACTTAGCGCGTAGCGGCCTTGGTTGGGCCAGGCCTCCCAGATGGGGTCCGAGTAGTTGGGGTCGGGGGATCGCGCCGCATCGCCGATGCATCGGCGATGCGGCGCGATGCGGAGCCCGACTTTCTCCACGCCGACGACGCATGTGCTTCGCCGACGTCGCCGATGCATCGCACTCGGACCCCATCCAGGAGGGCTCTACTTCGAGAAGCGCCATTCTCCAGTGCGGCGACGCGAGGGCGCGAAGACGACGGTACGTCACGCATCGCGGGGCGCGATGCGCGAAATTTGGTGGCATATGCACCGATTGATGCGCTGGGTCCCGAAAGGTGGAGGTGTTTCTCCCCGCCGCCAGGGCGTGCATTTCGAGCTCCCCAGGCAGCGCCAACTTGTGCTGGCAGTGCAGCTTCTGTGCCGCATACGTGGCGTTCGTTCATTTCCTTTCCTCTGGGTCCGCTTGGTGCCAGCCAAGACCGCTTGAGACTGGAAACGAAAATCCTCAACAGCACAGTGCTCCTGGGCCCCCCCCTGGGGCGCGAAGATAACGGCGCTTAGCACGCCGCAGTCCTGGCCATAGTGGTTGCCCTTCCCAAGGGCGGCGCGACGGCGCGAATATAACCGCGCGTCGCGCATCGCGGGGCGCGATGCTCCAAGTTGGGTGATTTTGATGATCTCGAATGCGTCTGCCTTCTCGGGCGCCCTTCTCCAGATCTCTTGGGAGGACCGTTGACCCGTCATGTAGGGTTTGGGAGTTGCGCTGAGCATTGTTCAGCCACGGATGGCCCAAAAGACTTTTCTTGAACGCACTTGAGTGCCATCACGGGTTTCCGTTGGGGAGTAGAGTCGTCTTGAGGCCATTTTGTGTCCGTCTCAACGCCGTATTGTGGCTGCCTTGGGCAGTCTAGCTGGCCCACGACGGGAGGAGAAGGAGGAAAAGGGCGGAGGTGGAGGAGGCGGAGGAGGAGGAGGAGGAGGAGAGGAGAGGAGAAAAACACTGATGACGCTAATGATAGTAGTACTACTACTACTACTACTACTACTACTACCACTACTACTACTACTACTACTACTACTACTACTACTACTACTACTACTACTACTACTACTACTACTACTTCTACTGCTGCTGCTGCTGCTGCTGCTGCTACTATTACTACTACTACTACTACTACTACTACTACTACTACTACGACTACTACTACTACTACTACTACTACTACTACTACTACTACTACTACTACTACTACTACGACTACTACTACTACTACTAATAATAATACTCACACGCAGTCATAATCATAGTAATTATCCCAGTGCGGCCCTACCTAGGAGTTGGGGCATCTAGGACAGCAACATCTACATCTACACCGACAGCTACATTAACATCTACACCTGCATCGACATATACATCAACATCTGCTGTGCTGTTGCTGCTGTTGCTTTGATGTTGCTATGATGTTATGTTATGTTATGATATGCTGTGTTATGCTATGCTATGCTATACTATGCTATGATATGCTGCGCTATGCTATGCTATGCTATGCTAGGGTATGCTAGGTTGCGCTATGTTATGTTAGGCTATGCTATGCTATATTATGCTGCGATATGCTATGATATGTTATGATGTACTGGTGTATGCTATGTTATGCTGTGTTATGCTGCGTTATGCTATGGTTTGCTAGGCTATGATATGATATGATATGATGCGCTGTGTTATGATATGATATGCTATGCTATGCTGCGCCATGCTATGATATGATATGATATGCTGCGCTATGATATGCTATGCTATGCTATGATTGCTGCGCTATGCTATGCTAAGCTATGGTATGCTATGATATGTTGCGCTATGATATGATATGGTATGCTATGATATGCTGCGCTATGTTATGCTACGATATGCTATGCTATGCTATGCTATGCTATGCTATGCTATGCTAATGCTGCGTTAAGCTGAGCTGAGCTAAGCTAGGCTAGGCTAGGCTAGCCTAGGCTAAGCTAAGCTAGGCTAGGCTAAGCTAAAGCTAAGTTAAGCTAAGTTAAGCTAGGCTAAGCTAAGATGAGATAAGCAAAGCTAAGCTAAGGGGGCGCAACTGGGGGAACCGCGGGGCGGATACTGGGGGAACCGCCCGGGCCGGTTCCCACTGCCCGGTCCTTGAAACCAAGAGAGTAAGACCCCTTCTAGGCAGAGCCTAGGTAGGGAATGATAAGAAGAATCTGACTAATAAGAAAAATGATAATACTAGTAAGGAGGAGGAGGAGGAGAAAGATGAGGAGGAGGAGGAGGAGGAGAAGGAGGAGGAGGTGGGAGAGAGGCCCTCCTGAGGTGACGGGCATCGAGTTCCGAGATCCTCTGCTGGTGATCAATGCGAGCAGTCCATATAAGGTCGAGGCTGGCATGACCTTGTGTTTATCCGTGGGCTTCAGCTCTCCTGGTCCTGAGACCTGGGCTGTCTGGATCGCTGACACGGTCGAGCTGCAGGAGGGCACGGACTCGTGTGGTGTCAACCTGACAGCAGGGTGCAGCATCCTACCTTCGGACGTCGTGTTCGACACAGGGGATCCAGCCATGCCTCCAGGTTGGTATCCGGGGGGAGAGGGGGCTGTAGCTCAAGACCCAGTAGGCAGCCAGCGGATAGCATGGGGGATCCGAGACACTGCAGACTACGGGGGGGGCAGCTCCGTCGGGAAGGAGGAGACCTCCCCAGCAGTGGTGGGGTGAGCGCCCCCTCCTCCTCCTCCTCCTCCTCCTCCTCCTCCTCCTCCTCCAGCCCCCGCAGCGGGCCAAGGGGATTCCGCGGGGCAAATACGCATCCCATGCTGGTCAATGGGCCAGTGTTGACGCCCCCCCGCCAGAGGGCGTAGCTCGGGCGATCGCGATGCGCCTCCGTGTTTGCACGTGGAATGCTCTCTCGATGAGACAGGCTGGCCGCTGGCAGGAAATGGCGCGGCAGCTCCGAGCGTGTGGGGCTGGGCTCTCGCCGTTCCGCGGGTTCCCCCCCTTGTCCTTGCTCCTCCCCCGCTCTGCCTGGCCCCATCCTCGGGGCGCGGATCCGGCTGTTGGCTCGTTTGTTAGAGGCGTTGTGCCTCAAGTGGGTTTTTCAACTGCACGCTCAACGTGCTTGTCTCAGAGTGCGTGCCGCAGCGAGCGACGGAGGCTTCAGAGATACAGCTGGTCGTGTGTCGGCTGATGCTGTGTGCACAGCCGTTGGCACCTGTCCGTCGGGGCAGCCGAGCACTGCGATGAGGGGGGTGCCCCAAGTAATCTCCGTAGGCCGCATGACTTTGGCCTCCATGGAGCACATGCCATGCCATGCCTCCTCCTCCTCCTCCTCCTCCTCCTCCTCCTCCTCCTCCTCCTCCTGCTCCTCCTCCTGCTCCCCCTCCTCCTCCACTCTCCTCTCCTCCTCCTCCTCCTCCTCCTCCTCCTCCTCCTCCTCCTCCTCCTCCCCCTCCCCCTCCTCCTCCTCTTCCTCCTCTTCCTCCTCTTCCCCCTCCCCCTTCTCCTCCTCCTCCTCCTCCCTCCTCCTCCTCCTCCCTCCTCCTCCTCCTCCTCCTCCTCCTCCTCCCCTCCCCTCCTCCTCTCCTCCTCTTCCTCCTCTTCCTCCTCCCCCTCCCCTCTCCCCTCCCCTTCTCCTCCTCCTCCTCCTCCTCCTCCTCCTCCTCCTCCTCCTCCTACTCCCCTTCCTCCACTTCGAGATCTGCAATCTGTCCCTGGAGCCCGCCTGGGGTCCACCCCAGGAAGTTTGTACCCCGAGTTGGTTTTGATTGTCTCGGGGCCCGGAATGGGCCCTCAGAGGTCGAAAATGGCGAATATTGAATGGCAACCGCGATTTGTTCAGAATCCTCCTCCCTCCTCCTCCTCCTCCTTCTCCTCCTCCTCCTCCTCCTCCTCCTCCTCCTCCTCCTCCTCGTCCTCCTCATGTCATTCACAATGCGGATTGCGGGGGTCGTCAAGGAGGAGCTGGAAAGTGAGGAGGCGCCGTGTGCCGCCCCGAGGACATGGATGGGCCAGCAAAGTCGACGTTCAGCAATTTCCAGCACCCCGTTTTTCGGTCCCGGTTGCTCGGTCGGGCCCTTTCGCTCGTTTCGCTCTGGGTGCCCTGGTCCGCCCTTCGTTTCGGTTCGTTCGCTCAGGCTTTCACGGAGTTAGCGCGTTGACTCTAACCCACGCGCAAAGGAATCCTCCTCCTCCTCCTCCTCCTCCTCCTCCTCCTCCTCCTCCTCCTCCTCCTCCTCCTCCTCCTCCTCCTCCTCCTCCTCTTCGTCCTCCCAGAGTAGAGGAACCAAATCGTGAAATCCTTGACTCCGCCCCCCCCACACACACCCCCGTTGCCCCATATACAAACTTGGCTTCATGCATTGGGCAGCGCGTCCACCGTCAATTTTGAATCTGGGGGAGGGGAGGGGAGGGGGGGGTCAACACGGGGTTGAACACGACGGGGCAAAAACGGGGCTTTTATCCTTTACCTCCTGGTCCCCCCCCAGCGTCGGGTGGTTGGGTGGGTCTTTCTGGCCGTTCGCCCCCCTTGGTGCAAGGTGAGGCTGCGGAGGACGGCGGGGATGCCAGCCAGGGCGCGGAGGTGGCGGAAGAGGCCGCGCCCCCCCCCCTTTTCCCTTCACCCGATGTACTTGTCAGTATGATTAGCTGTTCTCAGCAGTTGCAGCCTTCATCTTGTTATTGTGATATGTGTCATGGCTTGCTCCATCATTCGATTCATCGTTCGTGCCCTTCTCCCTCCTATGGTATCTCCTCGTCTTCCCTCCTCCTCCTTCTCCTCCTCCTCCTCATCGTAGAACCAAGGACAGAAAGCCCACACAGAAACAGCATGCCATGCCCTGATGAACACGCGCACGGCCCGACACCCAGAAACTTCGGGAGGGTAGCCACGCCTGTTTCCAGAGGGTGGATTCACCCGCTCAGGGACGAAACTTGTATGCTCGTGGTGATCCAGGAACGCTCTCGAGTAAAGCCAGGAATGTGGTCTAAATGCGTGGACTTTGGTGCTGGGACCCGCGCCCTCACTGAGGTCCCCGTATCTCGTTCCCTCTAATCCTCCACCTGCTCCTCTTTTCCTCCCTTCCTCCTCCCTCTCCTCCCCCTCTGGTGCCCAGCCTTCTCATCATCACCATCACCATCACCATCGGTTCCTCCTCCTCCTCCTGCTCCTCCTCCTGCTGCTGCTCCTCCTCCTCCTCCCGCAGATACAGGTTTCCAGTGTTGCGAGTCTCGAGCGAGGCTCAAAGTTCTCTTCGCAGGGTGCCGTCCAAACTCCTGGTCCTTTTCCTTCTGCCTTCCTCCTCCTCGTCCTCCTCCTCCTCCTCCTCCTCCCTCTCTTCCCTGCCACTCTGGTGTTTGTGCCTCTTCCATTCTCTGGCGTAGTGACGGAGGTTTCCAGCAATTCTGTCATCCGCCTTCCTCCTTCCGCCATCCTCTCGTCCCATCCTGCCTCCTCGATCCCTTCTCTCCCTCCCCTGCCTCCCTCCTCCCCTCCCTCCCTCCCTCCCTCCCCTCCCTCCCTCCCGTCCATTTTTCTTTCTCCATTATCGAGGAGGAGGCAGAGGTGGAGGACTACAGCAGGAGCAGCTTCCTCCCCGCGGTTGGCTCCTCCCAAGGCAGGGGGTAGAGCAGGGGGGTCCACGATCCCGTTTCCGTATCGTTCCTTCTTTTCCCCATTTTTTTGTTTCTTTTCCTTCCCCCCTCCCTACTTTCCCTACCTTCCCTGCCTCCTTCCCTACGTTCCTTCCCTCCCTGCCTCCGCCCCCCTCCCTTCACAATTACACAATATGAGTACTACTCTCCTCTCTCCCCTGGTGATGTCCGGGAAATGGCTGGCCCCCCTTCGCGTACTGTTTTTTACACCGGATTTCCTGGAAACGGTTTTTCGCTTGTTTTTGTTTGTTGTTGTTCAAAATGCTGCTTTCGCTGAAGCGCTGGCTTCATTTTCAGGCCACCGCTCGTTCCGAATCGTGCTCCCGCTGCAGCGCTGGCCTCATTTCTGCGCTTCCGCTTGTTCCGAATCGTGCTCCCGCTGCAGCGCTGGCCTCATTATCTCCAGCGCAATGCCACGGCATGGTTTTCGGTCCTTCCAAATAGGCTCCAAAATCTAGAAACTGCCCTTCCGAAAAAACCATCGGAAGTGATTACACAGTCGGTGCTGATTCGTTTCCGCTCGTTCCGAATCGTGCTCCCGCTGCAGCGTTGGCGTCATTATTTCCAGCGCCATGCCACGGCATGGTTTTCGGTCCTTCCAAAAAGGCTCCAAAATCTAGAAAATGGCCCCCCGAAAAACCATCAGAAGTGATTACACATTCGGTGCCGATTCGCTTCCGCTCGTTCCGAATCGTGCTCCCGCTGCAGCGCTGGCGTCATGATTCTCAGCGCCATGCCACGGAAACGTTTTCGGTCCTTCCAAATAGGCCCCCAAATCTAGAAAATGGCCTCCCGAAGAAACCATCGGAAGTGATCTTACATTTGGAGTCGATTCGTTGATTTTTTGGGCCGCATTTTGGGGCGTCGCCACGCCATGCTATGTCATGATACGCGTTGATCTTCAATACCATGTTATGCCATGTAATGCTATGCCATGCTACGACATCCGATTGTGCGAATAGAGAAGAGATCTACGCAATAGTAAGGGATGGGAGGGAGGGGTAGAACGTCAGATATGACGCGAGCGCACCGAGCTTGTCCCCCCCCATCTCCCTCCCTTCTCTTCTCTCCTTGTTTTTCTCCCCCCTCTACTTCGCAAGTTTCCAATATGAATACTGCTGCCCTCTCTCCCCTGGCGACGTCCGTGAGACATCAGGCCCCCCTGCGCACACCTGTTTTTACACAGGATTCCTGGGAAACTGGTTTTCGTTTTTTCTTCAAAATGCTGCTCTCGCTGAAGCGCTGGCTTCATTTTCGGGCTACCGCTCGTTCCGAATTGTGCTCCCACTGCAGCGCTGACCTCATTTCCGCGCTTCCGCTCCTTCCGAATCGTGCTCCCGGTGCAGCGCTGGCGTCATTATTTCCAGCGCCATGCCACGGCATGGTTTTCGGTCTTTCCACAAAGGCCCCAGAATCTAGCCCCCGAAAAAACCATCGGAAGTGATTCCACATTCGGTGTCGATTCGTTGATTCTTTGTGCCGCAGAAGACCCCGCTTTGTCGGGCCCCAGGGACCTCAAAAACGATTCGGCTGGAAAATGCCGATCCGACTGGACCCCGTGAGGGGCCCAGGGGCCCAGTGTGAGGCGATTGTTGAAGGAAGCCAGACCACCGAACCTGGCAGCCCGCCGTACTATTCCCTGACATGCGTCCTCGCCCGCAGAAGCTTCCCCCGCCGCCGTCGTCGTCGTCGTCTGCGTCCTTGTCGCCGTCGGCAATTTCTGTGCGCTCCCTGGAGTTTCCGCAAGTCTTCGGGCCATCCGTCACGCCTCGAGCAGAGCTGTCCAGGGAACACAGGCAGACTTGGAAGGAGGCTCGGGGAACGCAAGGCAGCGTGTCGAAAGGAGTGGTGGGGCCCTTACACTATTGCAGTACCCCTACCAGACGGCATTTGGCATTCGAAAGCGCCCACATCGTGCAGGCGCGACTGCGCAGGACATGGAGCCGGGGTTCCGGACAGGCCGTCTCCTTTGGTACACGGGCCATGTACCCTCCAAGGCATCCGGTGCCATGCCATGGCATGCAATGCGATGTTGCGTTGTGCTCCGCTGTGCGATGCCATGTCTTGCGATGCTACGTTTTGTGATGCAATGGTACACGACGCAATGCCAAACCATGCTATGACATGCTCTGCTTTGCCGCGCTCTTCTACACCATGCTATGCCGTGTTTTACGTTTTATCATGCGTCACAAACCCTCTGGGGATCATTGCTTTGCCCGACATCAGCTTGTGCGCATAAAGAGGAGATCTGCGCCATGGTAAGGGTTGGGAGGGAGGGGTATGACGACAGATATGACGCGAGCGCGCCTAGCTTGCCCCCCCCTCGCCCTCCCCCCTTCCCCACTGTCCGCGGAGGCGGCGCCCGCGGCCGCGGCGGACGGCCTCCCGGCCCCCGCGGCGGCCGAGCCAGCGCCAGCGCCCGACGCCGTCGAGCCGGCGGAGGACCGGCCGAGGAGCGTTTTCGGCGTCGTCGCCGCCGCCGCCGTCGTCGTCGTCGTCGTCGCAGGAGGAGGAGGAGGAGGAGCAGGAGCAGGAGCAGGAGCAGGAGCAGGAGCAGGAAGTGGAGGACGAGGACGAGGAGGACGAGGCGGACGACGAGGAGGATGTGTATTCCTCCTCTTCATTCCTCCTCCTCCTCCTCCTCCTCTTCCTCCTCCTCCCCCTCCTCCTCCTCCTCTTCCTCCTCCTCCTCGTCCTCCTCCTCTTCCCCCTCCCTCATCTTCGGAGCGTCGGCACGGGGAACGGTAGCAGTAATTCAGAGCCCCTCTTCCCTCCAGGTTCCATTCAGTTGGCCCCTTGTGGGTGTGTCAAGTTCACCAGGTTTTAAGCAGTACGTACCTCCGCTCGTGTTTGTCTATTGTCTCTCCCTCTCTTTTTGTGGTTCCTCTCTCTCTCTCTCTTTCGTTTTTTCCCCAACCCTCCTGTGTTGGGTTCTCGTTTTGAACAGAGCAGTGTGGTCGTCCCGTCCTTCCTCCTTCCTCCTCCCCTCTCCTCCCCTCCTCCTTCTCTCCTGTTTCCTGTGTTCCCCTCTCCTCTTCTGTCGTGCCGTCGGGCTGCGATCTGCGCAACCGTCGTCACTTTCGTGGGCTCCTGGGAGGCCCAGCGGTGGTACGTCATACGCGGATCACAACGGGACCTCGCCGCCCCTGGGGAGCTGCGATCTGCGCAATTGTCGCCATGTTCGTGAGCTCCTGGGAGGCCCAGCGGAGGTACGTCATACGCGGACCACCTCTGGACCTCGCGGTGCCCTGGGGGGCTGCGATCTGCGCAATTGTCGCCATTTTCGTGGGCTCCTGGGAGGCCCAGCGGAGGTACGTCATACGCGGATCACCACGAGACCTCGCGGTGCCCTGGGGGGCTGCGATCTGCGCAATTGTCGCCATGTTCGTGAGCTCCTGGGAGGCCCAGCGGAGGTACGTCATACGCGGACCACCTCTGGACCTCGCGGTGCCCTGGGGGGCTGCGATCTGCGCAACTGTCGCCATTTTCGTGGGCTCCTGGGAGGCCCAGCGGAGGTACGTCATACGCGGATCACCACGGGACCTCGCGGTGCCCTGGGGGGCTGCGATCTACGCAATTGTCGCCATGTTCGTGGGCTTCTGGGAGGCCCAGCAGAGGTACGTCATACGCGGATCACCACGAGACCTCGCGGTGCCCTGGGGGGCTGCGATCTGCGCAATTGTCGCCATGTTCGTGAGCTTCTGGGAGGCCCAGCGGAGGTACGTCATACGCGGATCACCTCGGAACCTCGCCGCCCTTGGGGGGCTTGCGATCTGCGCAATTGTCGCCATTGTGGGCTCCTGGGAGGCCCAGCGGAGGTACGTCATACGCAGATCACCTCGGGACCTCGCCGCCCCCTGGGGGGCTTGCGATTTGCGCAATTGTCGCCACTTGCGTGGGCTCCTGGGAGGCCCAGCGGTGGTACGTCATACGCGGACCACCTCGGGACCTCGCCGCCCCCTGGGGGGCTTGTGATCTGCGCAATTGTCGCCATTTTCGTGGGCTCCTGGGAGGCTCAGCGGAGGTACGACATACGCAGATCACCTCGAGACTTCGCGGTGCCCTGGGGGGCTTGCGATCTGCGCAATTGTCGCCACTTTCGTGGGCTCCTGGGAGGCCCAGCGGTGGTACGTCATACGCGGATCACCACGGGACCTCGCCGCCCCCTGGGGAGTTGCGATCTGCGCAATTGTCGCCATGTTCGTGAGCTCCTGGGAGGCCCAGCGGAGGTACGTCATACGCGGACCACCTCGGGACCTCGCCGCCCCCTGGGCGCAATTGTCGCCATGTTCGTGAGCTCCTGGGAGGCCCAGCGGTGGTACGTCATACGCGGACCACCTCGGGACCTCGCCGCCCTTTGGGAGGCTTGCGATTTGCGCAATTGTCGCCACTTTCGTGGGCTCCTGGGAGGCCCAGCGGAGGTGGGTCCCACGCGGACCACCTCGGGACCTCGCCGCTCCTTGGGGTGCTTGCGATCTGCGCAATTGTCGCCACTTTCGTGGGCTCCTGGGAGGCCCAGCGGTGGTACGTCCCGCGCGGACCACCTCGGGACCTCGCCGCTCCTTGGGGTGCTTGCGATCTGCGCAACTGTCGCCACGTTCGTGGGCTCCTGGGAGGCCCAGCGGAGGTGCGTCATACGCGGACCACCTCGGGACCTCGCCGCCCACTGGAGGGCTTGCGATCTGCGCAACTGTCGCCACTTTCGTGGGCTCCTGGGAAGCCCTTCTGTCTCCACTTCTGGATGAGTCTCCACCCCCGTTATGCACCTCATGCATTTGCCCCGCTCAGCGCAGCGCGTTGCTGATTTAAATTGATGTTCTGTTTTAGCCCTCGCCGCCGCGCCCTTTTGTGTTCACTTTTTGGGGCGCGTTTCTTTCAACGCCCCTGTGTTTCCAGTTTGTATAGTTGCCGTTCCTCTTATTGCTGCGCTCTTCTGAAATCACTGCGGGGTGCCCTTTTTGCGCACTGCGGGTCCTTCACACTGCCAGTCAGCATTGAGTGGTCCTGAGTATAATCGCCACATGTATAGAAAGGGTTGGGTACGTCACAGGGTAATTGTTATCATTGTATTCCCATGTCCTAAGATGGGGTTATTGTTATTACTTGCACCACGCTGGAAGGACAGTCACACCAACACCTCACTCATCGCTCAGACTCGCACATCACTCAGACTCACTCATGCTCTGACTCGCTCCTTCTCACTTGGACTCACTCACCGCCTAGATGCATCCATCACTCAGACCTAGACACGCTCATCGCTCAGGCACACTCATCACTCAGACTCACTCATATTCTGATTCCTTCTTTCTCACTCAGACACCGTCACACCACTTCATCACTCTGACTCACACTCACACTCACACTGACTCAGACTCTGAGCCGCTTGTTCTCACATCCATCACTCAGACGTAAACTTGCTCACCGCTCGGAGCATTCCATCATTCAGCACCGTGCATCACTCAGACTCACTCATACTCTGACTCGATCTTTCTCATGATGATGTTGATGATGCTGATGATGATGCTGATGATGATGCTGATGATGATGCTGATACTGCTGATGCTGCTGCGGTGGCTGCTGCTGATGATGGTGATGATGATGATGATGCTGCTGCTGATGATGATGATGATGATGATGATGATGATGATGATGATGATGATGATGATGATGATGATGATGATGATGATGATGATGATGATGATGATGATGATGATGATGATGATGGCGCAGATTCTGAGGACGTCTCGAGCGAGGCGCGGATTTCAGCACCCCCATTGGGGGAGCCGCCAGGGGGTATATCATTCCTCCGTTCGCGCCAAAATGGCGGGGATGTCTCGAGCGGTTTGCCTGTTTGTGCCCCCAACATCCTCCGCTTTCGGAGCAGATTTAGAGGATGTCTCGAGCGAGGCGCCCCCAAGGGGGAGCCGCCAGGGGGTATCTCACTCTTCCGTTCGCGCCAAAACGGTTGGGATGTCTTGAGCGGTTTGCTTGTTTGTGCCCCCAACATCCTCCGCTTTCGAAGCAGATGTGGAGGATGTCTCGAACGAGGCGCTGGTTGTCGCACCCCTGGTGGCCCAGATTGCGAGTTTGTCTCGAACGGTTTGCTGGTTTTGCTGGCCAGACTCGTGGGCGTGGATTCTCAGGATGCCACAGGAAGCTCCAGCCGGCTCCAGAGGCCCAAGGAGACCACATGAGGTCCCAGGAGGCACCAGGAGGCCACAGGAGGCCACAGGAGGCCCCAGGAGGCCACAGGAGGCTCCAGGAGGCTCCAAGAAGCTCTAGAAAGCCACAGGAAGCACCAGGAGGCCAGAGGAGGCCGCAGGAGTTCACAGGAAACGCAAGGAGGTACCAGGAGGCCCCGGAAGGCCCCAGGAGCCCCCACGATGCCCCAGGAGCAGGAAGGTTCAGAAGGCCACAGGAATGCCTCCTATCCCCGGCGTTTTACATATGTTTCCATCGATTGGGCTTCCCCTGGAGTGCGAATCCTTTGTGTTTGCGTATGTTTCTATAAAGTGTCCTTCTCTTGTGTATCCACTCCTCAGCGTTTTACATAGGTTCCTATAGATTGGCCCCCCCCTGGGGCACGAATCCTTGATGTTTTACGCGCGTTCCTATAAATTGCCCCCCTCTCTTGTGGCTTCAATCCAAAGTGTTTTACGTCTGTTCCTATAGATTGGGCCTCTCCTGGGGCACGAATCCCCCCCGGGAAGCCCATGAGCATCCAGGAGGCTCCTGGAGGCCCCAGGAGGCCACGCGAGGCCCCAGGAGTCTTCAGGAGGCCACAGGAAGCCCTAAGAGGCCACAGGATGCCCCAGGAGGCTCCAGGAGACCCCAGGAAGCCCCAGGATGAGGCTTCAAAAGGCCCCAGGAGGCCCCAGGCTCATGCGCAGAGACGCACTGATGATACTGAGACTCATTCACACTCCATTTCATTAACAGTTAGAGTCGCTCCCAGACCGTCAATACTCAAGCCCGCTTCTATTCGAAAGCTCTTGCGCCTAGACACGGCGGACAGGTCCATGCTAATAGATGCACATGTTGGGAGCTCCAGGCAGTGGGTAATTATTTTGTCTCTCTCTCTCTCATTTTAGTGCGTGTGCGCTCCCAGTTATTAGCGCTTCGCGTATCCCCATCATCCCATCCTGGAACGATGCCCAGGGGAGCTGCTCGTATCGGGGGGAACGTGACATCATGTGGATACCTCGGGGAGCCTCAGTGAACTAGAAGCCTCTTGGATGCCTCTCGGAGTCTGGGGATGTCCTCTGGAGGGCTCTTGGTGGTCTCTTAGGGCGTCTTGGGGGGGCCCTTCGAGGCTCTTGGGGCCCTCTGGCGGCGTCTTGGGGGCAGCGTGGTAGCCTCTTAGGGGCCTGTTAGTGGCCTCTTGAAGGCCCTCTTGGGGCCCTCTTGAGAGCCTTGGAGGTATTGTTGGAACCAGCTTGGAGGATATCGATTA